TGTGCGTTTGATCACTGAATTGTCATCGGTTTTATAGATTTGGCTTTCATTTTTTTGGTTGTCATATTCGCTTTTCTGAATAGTTATTTTTCTAATTGTAAGAGTTGTTTTCGAGTCTTACTCGCGTTTTTTTTTAAAGGAATTGGCAGTGCAAGATGTGAATGATTTGTATAAAAAGATTGAGAAACTCGGTGAAGGTAGTTATGCTGTTGTGTATAAAAGTGAAAGCAGGTCAGTTTTTTAAAATGTTCATTCTATCCTCTGAAATATCAGAATCATTTTTCGCGGTGAATTCGAACTGCTCCCGAGAATTCTCTTGTATTCGGAAATTTTCAGTGTTCTTAACAATTGAGTGAATATACGTTTGGCTTGCCAAACTTTTGGAAAGTTTTCTAACACTTAGTATTTCGGATGAAATTTTTGTGCTTGTGCAATTTGGGTAATGAACACTCCGAACGGCAATGAAAAATGACAATTTCAGGATTGATGGTACCATAGTGGCACTTAAAGAAATTAAATTGCACAGTCAAGAGGGATTGCCGTTTACGGCGATTAGAGAAGGTGAGTTGGACAATTGCAATGAATCGAACTCAGTTCTTGAAGCGTTGTGCTTCCCAAATTTTCAAAAAATTTCTTTGAAATTCATAATTATCGTGACATCAATACAAAAGTTACATTTCTTTTACGTTTGCTTAAGTTGGAAGAATTTTAGTGATGAGATGATAAAATAACGCTCATTATAATGATATTGTTTTGAATAATTCAGACAAAAGTTTTAAAGTAAAGTTGTCTTTCAGCATCCTTACTACGCGCATTACGTCATGCAAACATCGTAACGTTGCATGATATCATACATCAGCAGAACTCGTTGATCTTTGTTTTTGAATATATGGTTCGTTTTGACTTTAGAATCAAGTGGGAAATAAAGTTGCACTGTCAAAGAGACGTCCTTTTGGACATAAACTTTTGCTCTTTAATGTAGTAAAACTAAAAGAACGTCGCCTAGTATGGGGACGGGAACGGGTACTAGAGAGATTTTCTCCCATCCTCGTGGCCACCGCCTCCTCACGGGACTAATCAGTGCCGATGCAATTTGATCACTATAAATTTTGTTTTATCGTCTCGTATTTTTTTGTGCATATTGTGATGGCATAATGCTTTCTTAAAATTTAGTAGCTTGCCTTAGAAATGCATCGCCCCGGAGAGACCGCAGGGACAGGGAAGAAGGGAGCAAAACAACATTTTCGCGGGGAAGTAACTAAAAGATTGTACCAACCATACTCCTTTCTTGGAATATTCCGTTTGCAAAAGCGATTGAAATATTTTTTTATTTTCATGAAAGTAAAAT